ATGTCGACAATGGCATTTTAATGATTTTTATTTTTTTTATGATTATTTACTTTTTGTTATAGGACAAAACCTTCTCGTCCTCGTAAAGGAGATGGTCCGAAAAAAAGTGGTTCAGTTCCTCCTCGAAGCACTTCCAAAAAATTGGGTACTCGTGTTGGAGTTGCAGAAGGGAATCAAGGGAATGTCTCATCTAGTACACCTACACCTACCACAGGCATTGAATCTGCACCTGCTACTACTACTGCAACACCTGCAGTTGCTACGCCAGCGGATGGAGTTGGTGAGCCCAAGAAAAATGTCAAGGGACCGGGAAGGAAGAAGAGATCCCCGTGGTGGGATTATTATGATGATGCTGTGGTGGATGACTACCCATATGGTAAATGCAAACAGTGTGGAACTCTGATAAAAGCTCACTCGATCAATAACGGGACTACTGGTTTGAAAAACCATCACTTGTCATGCGAGAGAAAGAGGAAGGAAGCCAGTGGTCAATCACTATTGAATTATCAGCCTGGGGATGGTGAGGTAAGCTCTCTTACTCCATGGAAGTTTGATCAACAAAAAGCTAGAACTGCATTAGCTGTAATGATCATCTTGGATGAGCTGCCATTTCGCTTTGTTGAGCATGAAGGGTTTAAGAGATTTATGGCGGTAACCCAACCATTGTTTGTGATACCTGGAAGACAGACAATAAGGCAGGATTGTTATATAATATTTTTGGAGAAAAAGGAGTTGTTATCTGAGTTCTTCAAATCCAAGTGCAAAGGAAGAATTTCTATCACCACAGATACATGGACTTCTGATAACAACCAGAACTTTATGTGTGTAACTGCTCATTTCATTGGGAGTGACTGGAAGCTGCAGAAGAGGATCATTAGCTTTGTTCCCATCACTAGTCACAGTGGGAAGGATATTGCAGAAAAATTGGCAGAGTGTCTACAAGATTGGAAAGCACAACATTTGTTCTCCATTACCATGGATAATGCTTCTTCTAATGATGTTCTTATAGAGTGTATGAGAACAAAGATGAAAGAGTGGGGAACAGATTTGCTTGGTGGGAAGTATTTGCAATTTCGATGTGTGGCACATATAATCAATTTGGTTGTGTCAGATGGGTTGAAGGAGGTTGGAGTTGCTGTAGAAAGGGTTCGAGATTGTGTGAAATGGGTGAAGTCATCACCAGGTAGAAGTGCAAAGTTCAAATCTGCCATTGAATATCTACAAATGGATGGAAGAAGACTTGTATCTTTGGATGTTCCAACTAGGTGGAACTCAACTTATTTGATGTTGGAATCTGCTGAAAGGTTTGAGCTTGTTTTTAACTTCTTGCATGCGAGCCCCAATGATTCTGCTTTTCGGGATTATGTGGACTCAAAGAGAGGTCCTCCAACTAAGAAAGATTGGAGCAGTATTCGGCGGCTAATGAAGTATTTGAAGTTCTTTTATGAGCTCACCTTACGGGTATCGGGTATGTGAACAGAACTCCACCTATTCAAATTCATGGTTTTTACTTTTATTAACTTGTAATATGTGAATAATTTGTTGTTATTTTTTGATGTATTAGGAACATCTTATGTGACTGCTCATACTTTCTTCAAAACTATTGCTGACATCTATGAAGTGATAGAACTTTTTAAGAAAGACAGAGATGTAGAGATACAGCGGATGACAGAAAGAATGGAGGCAAAGGTACGAAAGTATTGGTTTGAGAATGATGATGATGATGAGGTGGAGAACCTAAGGATAAATAGACTGGTTTACATGGCTTGTGTGCTAGATCCTAGGCGTAAATTGGCTTATTTGTCTTGGATGTGGGGTAAGATGTATGGGAAGAAGAAAGGAGATGATTTGGTGAAAGATGTGAGTGCAGAGATGACTGCAATGTTTGAGGTTTACAGATTGAAGTATGCACCTCAACCCTCCGAGCCTACTGTTCAGGCCACTCCTAGTGATGATGATGGATCTGCATCTTATGGAGGGACATTTGATGCTGAATTCAAGAAGATGAGAAAGGAGCAACTTCAGATGGGGATTCGAGGTTTTTCTGAGCTAGACATCTACTTAAGAGATGCTAATGATGCTATTAACGAGGATGATAATGATATGAAGTTTGACATCTTGCTGTGGTGGAGTAAGAACGGCATTAGATATCCTATTCTTTCCCAGATGGTTAAGGATATCCTAGCTGTTCCAGTCTCCTCTGTTGCCTCAGAGGCCGCTTTCAGTTGTGGAGGTCGAGTGCTCAGCCCATTTAGGTCTTCGTTGAGCCCCATCATTGTAGAGGCCTTGATTTGTGCTGAAGATTGGATAAGGTTTGAAGGAGGGAAGAAAGCAGAAAAAGTTGATGATAAAGAAGATGAAAATCAAGACCAAATCGATTATGAAAGTGGTAAGAAATAAGAATTCATAATTTAATTTATTTTTAAGTATTCTCTTACTCATTCTCAATAATATATTATATGATGAATTCTAACAATTTGTATTTTTTATTATACTTAGTCACTACTAACTTCCAAGCTCGAATGGAAAGTGCTACTGTCATGCCAAGTAAAGGTGACAAACAAGGTTTACCTGTTGTGTTGGAGGAGGAGAAAGATGAAGAGCAGGAAGATTCAGACGAGGACGAGGAGGACCAAGATGAAGAGGATGATGGTGATGATACCCTTCGCACCACTTTGAAGCAACAAGGTTTTGTTGATGTTGATGGTACAGGTCCTAGTGGCAAGTGAGGAACTAGTGATTCTATTTTTTATCGTCATTTTTAGAACTTAATTCAAACATTTAGAAGAAGCATGCCAGACTGCTCCCTTTGGAATTATAGCTACGTGGTACTTTTTTTTATCTTCATTTTTTGGTATTTGCTATTCGGAATTCACTTGTTGTATTACACGTTTTTTTTCTCCATATAATCATTAAATCATATTTGTCTTCTTCTTTGTTGGATTACAATTTACAACGAAACAATTAAACTTAAACAAATATATTGCTCATGGGATGGGACCATAAGTCCATTACAACGAAACAATTAAAGTATTAAACAAATATATTGGCCTTTGCGTCTTAGAAATTAGAATAATAGTTATGGTCTTATGGAATTCCACTATTCCAGTACTAACTAGTAACTACTAATGGGACAGACAATTACTACAGCGAAACAATTTAACAATTACACAAATATATTATATATTTGTCTTCTTGTCTCATGGGGCCATGGGACTCGACAATTACAATTTACAAGGTCAGTACGTCACACACAGGTCAAATGGGAATTGGGTTTTGGCCTTTGGGACAGACCGACAGACATGACACGACATATTGACATTTAATGGAGACCGAGGCTGCTGCTTTCGGTATAATTCGGGACACCGTTTCCCCAACCGAAACCGTCCCCTTCGGCTGGCGGTATACCGCAGAGTTCGGTATCGGCTAACAGAGCTTGGAAGAGGAAATCCGGTATAACCGAAACCGGGTAAACGGTAACCGGTAAACCGTAAACTGTACCGATCCCACCCCTAAAGTTGCTGATGTGATGACTAAAGGGTTAAAAACTCAATCCTTTCAGTTGCTGTGTGAAAGCACTACGGGAAAAATGGCTGCTTGCAACTCTCACAAATGTGTTGCACAATGTCGTAAAAGAGTTGCGAAATCCTACCGCAACACTTTTGGTGGGGTTGCATAGAGTGGGGGTTGCAAAAAGAATAGGCAACTCGTTTTTCATTTTTCGCAACCCAAATTTAAAGTGTTGCATATCATTACCTCTTATGCAACACCACTTTAGACAACACATTTCACAATTTTCGCAATGCGTTTTCGAAAAATAGGCAACGTTTTTTTTAAGATTTGGCAACATTAATTTTTTTTATCTGTGACGAGTCTAAATCGTCACAAATAACTTACTCAATTGTGACAACATTGTTCGTAACTAAAATCAATACTTGCGTGACAATATTATCATCAATAAATATTCTTTTAGTGACGAGGTAGTCCAGCCACGAAAACTACCATTGTGACATGTCTAATTGTAACGAATAGTTATCATGTGTGACCATAATTATGTCACAAACACACATTTTGAAATTCAGGGGCTTGAGTTGGTTGTCCCTGAAGTTATTATTTGTGACAAATTTTATTGTCACATATGTTCCCTATGTGTGATGAATGTCGATTGTCACTCACAATATACTTTTGTGACAAGTTTGTTCATCACGAAAACATCATACGTACCACAAACTGCAGTCATTTGTGACCAACATTTTTATTGCAAAAGGTTATATTTGGTGACAACTTTAGTAATCACTCAAAAATCACCATTGGTGATAAATTGGGAGCAAAAATTTTGCAAATCGCATTCATTGGTGACCAACCTTTCATCACAAATTGATAGCATTTGTGACAACTTGGCGAGTCACGAATAAAGCAATGGTGATCAACGTTGAGTTGTCATGAATATATTTCTATTATGACAATAAAATTATCTTGTCTTCTTTTGTGACAAGGGTCGATGACACGAGTATACACTACAACAAATATAGCATTTTGTGACCATTTTCATTTAACTTTTTTTTTTTGGTCGGTGAAAATTAATTATTTATGACCAATTATATTTTGGTAATAAAAGATTTGATGAATTGGTTACTAACTAGAAAAAGAGTTTTTATAACCAAATTAAAATTTATACGACCAAAAAAATTAGTAGCCGAATGTTCAATTCTTTTTCTAACCAAAACAATTTGTTTATCATCCTTAATACTTTTTAAAGTAACTAGTACTTTTGGTCGCATAAACATATTAAAATGGTCACTTATAAGAAAAGAATTTTTATGACCAAAACAAACTTTACATAACTAAAAATATTGGTCATAAAATAATAAAATATTTTTCCTGGCCAAATATAATTGGTCATATTTTCTCCCACCGTACTGTTTCTTTTAATGGAACCCATCTCCTTCTTTTTGGTATAAAAGCCCATTCGCATTTTAGTCACTGTGTTTGGGAAACCCATCGCGGCATCACCTGCAAGTTAGTTGGGAGATTCAAATCTGAGCTGAGTAACGCCATCGCATTCACTCCAGGAGAACATCGCCTGCAAGTTAGTAACACAATCGTTCCAAAAACTTAATTTTCTCTTTGATTTGTACCGCAATTGAAATTCAAATATGAGCGACGAATCGTATCTCCTCCTTCTTTTAAAACTCAATCTAATCTGAGCGAAGAATCTAATTCCTCTCGTCATGCTTCTGATTCGAGTTCAGATCTCTATTTCCGGCAAGCGGCTTGAATCGCATCTACTTTTGGTTGATTATACTTCAGATTCGGTGATTACTTTGGTGTATCGTCTTCGTCTGTATGTTTCTACTTTTCCTGGATCGTTACGGCGAGTCATTATTGATATGGTCGTATTCGTATTTATGTATGTATCCTCTGTAATTGGGTGTCTGGTTGTTGTAAACACTCGGCCTTTCTGGTGTTGTAAACACTCGGGGAGTCAAAATTGGAGGCCATTAGGTCAATTTCGGAGGTCTTGAATCTATTGATTAGTGAGTTATGGAGGGGCGATGTAATTGTGATGTTTCCGTTAGGATCCAAAGGGTCAAAGCAATCTGCAAGAAAGAAACAACCATCAAAGCTTTTGATCGTCAGGAAACTGAAAGCAGAGACCAAAAGATGTTAAAATTGAAGAGCGAGGGAGAGAGATTTAATGCCTGATAGAATCTATTGATTAGTGGTTTTGAAGTTAGGTTGGGCAGTTTGGTCATTAGTGTTGGGGTTAGTTTTTTCATCAAGTCAGAATGCAAACTTTTGTGTAAAATAATCAGTTTGTTGTTTGTAGCAAGGTAGAATGTACGAAGTTTTGTTGTTGCTTGTAGGTAGAAAGGGTGTGTAATTGCTGAAAGACAGGTTCATGGAGTGTATTCCCCCCAAATTCTTGATGGAATGAAAGCTTTTCATTAGAGGAAAAATGTGTCCAATACTTTCTATGTTTTTATCCCTGGTAGATGTTCAATTAAAAATTGATTTATGTCTGCAGTTGTTCTAAACTATGAATGATGTGCAGACTTGAATGATGCGCAGACTTATTTTCTATGATCAGGAAGGATAGTATTCTAAACTCATGGTTGTGGTCAACTGAGGTTACCAATTTTGATCATTTTCTGTAACAGATTTCTGAATGGGACCAGGAGGGAAACGTACGGTTGAGTATCCCAGTCGAAGTCTAACACCCAGAGCTGGACAAAAACATGCATATGAGTATGCTAATTCATATGCTAGGTAGTACAAGAGAAACAAGACAGGACATAATTCTAGGAAAGGTATGATTTGAAAGAGATTTTGTGACTGTAAGATTGAACTTGGTTTGTTTGCTTGTTTTATCTTCCAAATCGATAGCAGAAGCTCTTTTAGAGAAGAATGGTACTAACAATTGTTTGCTTGTTAACAGTTAACTCTCAACCTCAAGCTGCCGAATTGAATGTGACTCCAACAGTGGAGGTTCCACTTACTGATGGACCTCTTGGAGATGATGAATATGAGCAACATTTGGAGGAAACACTTTCTGCCTCTAAAATTGGTCTTACAGGGGAATTTTTGCAATTAAATATCCATTTCATTTCCTTACTATTACTATGTAGTACACCTGTAGCTAAAATTTCCAAGTGGTTTTGCTTAAATGTATAGATCAAAATCGAAAGAAGAAGAAGGTTAGAGGTATAACAAGAGGCTTGGAAACGGTGAAACTGGCTGCTGCCATGGGGAAAGAAAAATTTCCAATTACAATTGATGTCTCACAAGGTCGACCAGTTAATGGTGTCCAATCTGCCAAACTTTCAAGTGAGTTTGGTTTGATAAGTCGAGAATACATGGATGAGATCCCTATCCGCAGGACTAAGGATTTCAAGAAGAACCATCTGCGTCCAGATTATGACAGACTAAATGTAAGCTTAATTTATTTATAGTGATTGCATTTTTATATTAGGAGCTGGTATAGTTTGTTTATGATTGTTTTCTTTTACCATGAACACATTGTTGATTAATATATTACTGGTGATAGATGCATCTGCAAGTTGAAGATATCAGCGAAGAGGCTGTCCAAGATTCTATCGATGGGTTATTGCAAATCCAACTCAAGCAGCAACGTTCCAAGCTGAAAAAGATATTCCTTGAGTGCAGGGATGCAGTGGAAGCTAGAACAATGAAGCCTCCTGGAATAAGCCAAAAGAACTGGGACGATTTGATTGACTATTGGCTCAGTGACAAAGCTAAGGTATTGACATCGATGAATTTGAGTTTGATTATTTTTCGAAATAGAATATGCAGAAAGCTGCCAGGCTTAAGTTGATGGTTGTGTTTGATTTAGGGGTTGCCAGGCTTAAAATGTAAATACGTCAAGGGATTCATTATTCAAGGAAATAATGTAACAGGACCATTGGAAAATTAGTAATCAAAATGACCAATTAGCATTTGAATGCTGAAAAATTGTACTTATAGGTCTGCACTTTTGGATTGTTGAGGACCTTCTTGGTTAGTAGTTTTTTCTGAAGTCCTTATTTTCATTAACAGCAAAAGGTTTGTTATGAGTAGAAGCCACAGGTGCATGAACTTTGAATCCTCTCCTGGGTATTCATGGCAACTAGAGAAATAATGAAAAAGTTGAGAGCTTTCCCCCAAATCATTAGCAGTGGAGGGGTTTGATTTAGGGGTTGCCAGACATATTTCAAGTAAATGGATAGAGAGGTTAGAAGTGGGGCAGTACTTGTTGGTGTTTTTGTTTTTGTCTGCATTCTTATGACAACTTGAAAGTTGAGATCCTGTACATTGATTGATCTGTGTTCGCCCAGAAAATTTCATTACTAATTTTGTTACTTCTTTCATTTGAAGCGTGTTGCTGTTGCCAACACACAGAACCGACAGCGTGTAAAGGCCTCCCATCGCCAAGGACGTAAATCTTTTGTTGTCTTAAGAAATGAAACTGTAAGATACATTCTCTGTTGTATCAGTTTGCACAGCAGAATCATTAATGGGATTTTTGTTCTGCAATCCTAAGTAGCATATCCTTTTTTCTTGTATGGTTGCAGAAGGAAGCGAATAATGGAGAAGAATGTGATCGAATCAGCCTATATAAAATGACATACTATTATGATACAGAAGGATGGCGAAATGAGTGTGTAGAGGCTAACTATGTAAGTATATATCTCTGGTAGTAATGCTTCATCAATATGGCATACTTGTTACTCTAAATTTATCTTGTGTTTTCTTCTCAGTTTACAGAACCGTATGCAAGAACTCTTAACTGAAGGGAACATGACCATGGATGAAATATGTGATACAGTTCTTGGAGTTAAACCAGGCTATGTTAGTGGCCTCGGTCATGGTCCAAAGCCAGTGACTACTTCTTCAAATAAAAAGATAAGATCTTTGGAAGAAGCCTTGAAGCAAAACGAAGCTGAGAAGAATGGCTGGAAATCCGAATGCCAAAATTTGAGGGCTGAAGTGGGTACTTTAAGAGAAGAAGTATCTGAGATAGGAGGATTAAAAGAAGAAATTGCAAGGCTTAAAGGGTTGTTGTCCCAAATTCTGCAAAAGTTTTGATGTTGTTTACATAGTCAACTAGTACTGTTAATGTTGTTTGGGATGATGTTATGCTCTTTACATAGTCAGCTGGTACTGTTAATGTTGTTTGGGATGATGTGATGCTCTTTACATAGTCAACCGGTACTCTATCATTCAGACATTGAAGAGATTGGTATTTTGAGAGTATTATTTGTTATGTGGTTAATTAGGAGGATTACTATTTGTTATGTGGTTTTGCATGCACTGTAGTTGCTTGGATAAGTTGAATCTTTTTCTCCATCATAGTTCCGAAGGACACCAGGATGCCCATATTTTATTTCTCCAACAAAATCGAGTGTCAAGAGAAGACAAGAAACATGGTGATGCCCTCCCAAAGTCGCTTTATGAAGCAAGAAACATGCTAGTTGAGTTGGGACTAGGATATGAGTTAATAGATGTATGCAAATATGATTGTGCACTTTTTTGGGGAAGAGATGCAGCAAAACAGCATTGCCCTGTGTGCAAAACTTCTAGATACAGCGTTGATGATGGTAAAGGAAAGCAAATTCCACACAAGAGAATGAGATACTTTCCTTTAATACCAAGGCTCCAACGTTTGTTTATGTCATCTAAAACAAGTAGTGATATGAGATGGCATAAAGAGAAGAAGCGGGTCAACAATGATGATATTTTAGGTCATCCAGCTGATTCAGTTTGTTGGAAAGACTTTGATAAGGAGTTTCCTTGGTTTGCAGAAGAGAGTCGAAATGTGAGAATTGGGATAGCTACTGATGGCTTCAACCCTTTCGGAAATATGAATAGCTCATATAGTATGTGGCCCGTCGTTGTATCTATATACAATCTTCCCCCATGGTTATGTATGAAAGAGCCATTCCTTATACTAACAATACTTATTCCTGGACCTACTGCTCCGGGGAAAGATATTAATGTTTTCTTACAACCATTAGTGAAGGAATTGAAGCTTCTTTGGGAAAAGGGTGTCCAACATATGATGCATCAAGCAAGAAAAATTTTCAAATGCATGCAGCTGTTTTATGGACTATCAATGATTTTCCTGCTTATGGGACACTCTCTGGGTGGAGCACGAAAGGATATTTGGCTTGTCCTGTTTGTAACAAGGAGACACGTAGAAAGAAGTTAAGAAGCAAGATTTGTTATACGGGGCATCGTTGTCACTTGGCTGCTAATCATAGATGGAGGAGAAGTCGAGAATTTGATGGAAATGTAGATCATCAAGTGGCACCAAAAGAAATGTCGGGTGATGATATTCTAAACCAATTGGAGAGTCTTCCTGTATTGGTTCATGGTAAGCATCCAGGTAACAGAAAGAAAAAGCGCACCCCTGAAGAGCTGAATTGGACAAGGAAGTCCATTCTTTTTTATTTTCCTTATTGGAGAAAGTTGAAAATGAGGCACAATCTTGATGTAATGCATATTGAGAAAAATATTTGTGAAAGCATTTTGGGGACTTTGTTAAACATTGATGGAAAAACAAAGGATAAAATTAAAGCAAGGCTGGACTTGAAGGATATGGGTATAAGAAGTGAACTACATTAGGAGGAGAAGGATGATGGTTCTTATAAGATCCCCCTGCTTGTTATGTATTATCCAAAAAAGAAAGATTGGAATTTTGTGAGTTTTTGAAGTCGGTGAAGTTTCCTGATGGATATGCTTCTAACATATCTCGTTGTGCCAATCCAGTTGATGGGAAGCTTGTAGGCTTGAAGAGTCATGATTGTCATGTGTTTCTACAACAATTATTAGCTCCTGGATTTCGTAGCTTTTTGCCAAAAGAAGTGTATATTGCCTTGGCAGAGTTGGTAGATTCCTTTAGGAAGTTGTGTTGTAAGACAATACACATGGCCGATATTGAGCAAATGGAGAAAGATATAGTGGTCATACTTTGCAAGCTTAAGATGGTTTTCCCTCCGGCCTTTTTTGATGTAAATTTTGCATATGGCGATTCATCTACCTAAGGAGGTTAAACTTGGAGGACCAGTTCAATTCAGATGGATGTATCCAATCGAGAGATAACAATACTCCTTCAGAATATTTAGCTTCTCCTTTATTCGTTTTACTTATACCTTCATTTTCATTTCCAGATTTTTACGAACATTGAAAGGTACTATTCGAAATAAGGCTCGACCCAAAGGTTCCATTGCAGAGGTTTATGAGGTGAAGGAAGGAATACAGTTTTGCTCAATGTACCTTCAAGGTATTGAAACTCAATTTAATCGTGAAGAGCGGAATGTTGACAACATAGAGGATGGTGGATTATCTATTTTTTCTCAAAAGGTTCGACCATTAGGAGCATTTAATTATGTGAACATGGATAAAAAAGAACGACAGATAATAATGTGGTATATTCTGAACAATTGCTCCGAGGCACAAGAATATTTGAAGTGAGTACATCATATAATTACTGAATTTTTTTTGAAATTTACACACTACTAACTAATCTTAATTTTATGATCCAGCCTTCACGAAACTGAGCTTAGACAGGAAAACGAGTTGAATTTGAAATCAAGGCAACGTGAACAATTTCCACTGTGGTTTAAGAATCATGTAAGTATATGCAACCAGAGTAATCATCTCCTTTCATTTTGAATTTGTACTGAAGTCACTTAGCTCCACATTTACTCCATCATTACCATGTGCTTGTAGATTCAAAGATTATATTTTCGTGAGCCACCCGAAGTGACAACGCCTATGTATGCTTTGGCATGTGGCCCTCATATCGGTGTGAAGAAGTACGCCGGATGTATAGTGAATGGAGTAAGATTCCATACAAAAGATCGAAATGCTCATACTAGAACTCAAACTTGCGGAGTCATGGTTGAAGGATATCACGGGAATAAGTTGATTGACTTCTATGGGGTTATTGATGAGATTCTTGTTGTTGAGTATGTTAAGGACAAGAAGGTGGTATTATTCAAGTGTGAGGGGTTCAAATTGGATGGCGGGAAGAAGGGTATTCAAGGCATGTGGCCCTCATATTGGTGTGAAGAAGTACGCCGGATGTATAGTGAATGGAGTAAGATTCCATACAAAAGATCAAAATGCTCATACTAGAACTCAAACTTGCGCAGTCATGGTTGAAGGATATCACGGGAATAAGTTGATTGACTTCTATGGGGTTATTGATGAGATTCTTGTTGTTGAGTATGTTAAGGACAAGAAGGTGGTATTATTCAAGTGTGAGGGGTTCAAATTGGATGGCAGGAAGAAGGGTATTCAAACAGATTGCCATGTCACTAGCATCAATGTTGGTAGTCTTTGGTATGAGAATGACTCCTTCATTCTGGCTGACCAAGCAAAGCAAGTATTTTACCTCAAAGATACCAAGTTGGGTAAGGATTGGAAAGTAGTACGGAAGTGTCGACATAGACATATTTTTTATGTCCCCATAGCACCTTCTGAAGTGGTCGATTCTGAAGAAGTACAAGACAATGTCGACATTGCATTTCAAGAAGAAGTTTCGAATGTAGATGCAAGTCTTGTCATTGAGGAGCAACACTTGACAGGTTCGAGTAGATCTTTGTTGATGATTGTGAAGAAGTAGATGATACCTTAGAAGATTACTTAAGTGATGTTAAAGTTGATGTTTCCTTGCAAAACCAAATACCACCGCCGGTGCCGAATTTGTTTCCGCCGATGTTGATTTGATGTTTCGCGATGGAAACTCTTGCGGTGCCGTTTGATCGAATGCACCGCTGATTGCTGAAATCGAGACGACCATCAAATATCCGCCGCCGAATGTCGGCGCCGTTGATTTGATCGATGCACCTCTGACTTCTAACCAAGAACGATCGTTACTACAGTTCGCACCTCTCCAAACTACGTTCGAACGAGGGTGTTTGAGTTTTGAGGAATCTACACTACCGCTACTCCTATGGAGATTCCTGTGGAGAGCTCCGCGACTACGACTAAGACTACAACTATGGAGATCCTTCCTGGAAGGATAGCTCCGCGAAGGAGTTACAGAGAAAAAAGATAAAGTTTGACAAATGTGTTTGTGTGTTGATTTTTTTGGTTCTTTTCTCTCTCCTTGCTCCACTGCTTTTATTCGAAAAACTGCTTCGTAGTCTTCACGCAACTCCGTGTCAACTGCTTCGTCGTCCGGAGAACTCCCACGTGTCTCAACCACTTCGTTCCTCAAACTGCTTCGCGTGAACTTTACGTGAGTTGTTTTCATGATCCCACGATGTCGTTTCCTTTCCCAAACAGCTCCGTTTGCTTTTCCTTTTGCGACACTGTTTATTATTAAACACTGTCGTTTGCTAGTATAACTGTACCGTTGGGCTTTCTCGCGGTTCCCTTTTTAATTCCATGGCACCGTTTTAACTCTCCGCGGCATCATTTTTAAATCCGCGGTGCCGTTTTAACTGTCCGCGGCATCGTTTTTTTAAATCCGCGGCACCGTTTTAACTCTCTGCGGTGCCGCGTCTTCCCATCCAACAAGGATAATAAAAATAATAATAACTCCTTTCCCACCACCAATACTACGTGCGTGGCCCCCATCCTGTTTTCTGGTAAACAGTGTCGTTTCCAGTGCCGCGGTATCGGTGAGCTTCCTTGCGGTACCGTTTTTCTGATCCGCGGTGTCGTTTTACTCTTCCGCGATGTCGCTCGACTCCAAACAACATCGTTTTTTACCCGTGGCATCAAATTAAATGTCGAGACTAATCCGGCATTTAATTTAATCTAAATTAATTTTAGGTGTAAACAATGTCCCCCACAACTTGGTTTATAAGAATTTATGAACCAAGTTGTTGACACAACTCAAACCACCTAAAATTACTTAATAATGTCCAATAAACTATACCAACCACGCAAAGCCAAAGTAATTGCAACAAAATTTAACAAAGTGGCATTGCAATTCTTTTCTCCGTGCAAGATTGTAAATGCTTTTACTTGGCCAAACAAAATTCATACAAAACAAACCGGATGTTTTGTTATTGTTACAGCCTTGGGAAAAAATGAACTAGAAGGAGGAGAGCAGTGCAGCGCCGCTTCCCCAAATAACGGTGTTTTATTTATTTATTTATTGTTTCCGCAGGATTGCTTTGGCCATAACAACGTTGCTTTCACCAAATTTTTTTTTAAATAATTCTTATTCAAACGGAACAGAACAGGATTGCAGCCCCGGTGCTGCTTGGGTCACTGAACACCACTACCGCTTGTGATTTACGTAGAGAACCATGTCTCTATTTTTTTTATTCGCCAATTCAGTTCTACCTGACTTGTGATTCTCTTTGGCGTCCAAGTAAAACCGCAACCTTGGTTGGCCTTCAGCAGCGCTGTTTTTCTACTAAATCCCCAAAACGACGTAGTTGCTGCTCTACCGTCGCTGCAAGCATTACGATTTTTTTTTAATATTATTGCTGCCTACTATGTGGTCTCGCAGCGCCGTTTTCATCCCAAACAGCTTTGATTTCCTTCTTCTTTCTCCATCAACGCTGCTGTTTTTGCGGTATTTTGTTTATTATTTTTTTTCTTTTTCCCCAACAACCACGCCATCCTTCCTTGCAGCGTTGCTTCATCACAAACGGTGGCGTCTATTATTTATTTATTTATTTTTACTTGCCACCGACGCTGCAGCAAGCACTTCAGGGTTGTTTGCTCTTTTTCTTTGCCCGCAATGCTGCGGCAAGTTCCCAATGCCGCTTGGACTCTTTTTATCACCCACAAGCAGTGCGGCCTCGCAGAAATAAGATAACATAAAATCATTTACTTGCAACACTGCTGTCTCACCGTAACAACTTTTCCTCCGCAGCGTTGTTTAGCCAAATTTTACATAGCAGCATTTTCTTCAGCCTAAACTGTCGCGTTTTGACCCCACCAGAACTTCTCTTTTCTCCAACCCGAAGAGCCAATTAAATAATTAATGGCCTCATGTTATCGAGCCTTGCAAGGCTGCAAGATTTTATTATTATTATTTATCTTGGAAGACTTTTGTTTTCATTTTTGCCAACGATGCGGCTAGCAACAGAATTGCAGCCAGCAAACAACATTGCGGTAATTTTTTTTTTAAATCCCCATAACAATCATATCCCAACGTAGGGCTGAAAAGAAGAACAACGTTGTTGCAAGTTCCAACAACTCTGCAACTCCTCCAAACCAACAGTGTCTTGTTCTCTCTCTCTCTATATATTTTTTTTATTTTTTATTTATCACATGACCTAAATTAGCCAACTTTATTTATTTTAATAATAGCTAAACAAAAACAGGGTTAGCTTTGGCATAAACCATCATGTCAAAAGTCCACACCCACTGCCAACTCCACGGATCAAACCAAACAAGCCATCCGTAAAGTCCACGACTCATCACAGTTGGCTTCACACATGTTAGTTTTGATGTTTTGGAATCAATGTTGGCTTGCAACTCCCCAGTTCGTCTAGCTCGAACATCTTTGTTCGAAACTCCACGATCCTGATTTGGCCTAATCTTAGCTTCGCGGAATGGAAAACCATAAGCATTCTTGGCTCTAGACAGGACATTCCCGTTTTTTTGGCACCTTTGTCTTGCCAATTCGACCATGCGACATCGCTTGCCTAGACTGGTCTAGTTTTGTCAACTTCGCACTCTCATTATGTTGTTGGTAGTATGAGCGTCGAGACTTTTCATCAACAGGTACGTTGGTATTTTGCTTAGCACTGACATAACTTTTGCACCTATCACACAACAACGTTGCCCCTTTTAAAATTCCACGTGAGTTTGGAGTTTGTTTGGCATTGGCGTTGCCCCCCAGACCACCACTCATGGATTTGTTCCCAGCCAGCACTGGTGTGGCAACCCCATGTCGGGTTTGACCGAACTTGCCCCCCTCTCTACTCAGTGGGGGTTTTGGGGACAATTTACATAGAGGATTCTGTTGATTCATGCCAACTTTGGTGGCATTAGGTTTTTTCACGTGGCTACCACCCCCACACTGCAAAGTTTTTGCTGCCATCCTTGTTTGAATTTTCGTAGAATATGACAGATTTGGCAAACTTATTTGCCACTTGCGATGTTGTTTTTCCATCAACCGACCATGCGGTGGGATCTCATGCCCCCCTAGCAGCTTAGATTGAACACCATTGCGATGTTGCTTGGACAACCCATCATACGTGAGCTTGCTATGCTTGACGTGATTGTAACCAGTTTCTCGACCCTGGTTCTTGTTTTCAATCTTACTAGAAGTAAGTCGATACTGACTTCTTTGTAATGGCTTCTGCAAGCCACTTCCAATTGGTGTGTCCTTTAGAACAACGTTGTTCATAGGAAAGAACACATTGGATTCACTCAGTTCTGGCAATAATGTTGTAGCCATCGATGATGGAGTTTGGTTGACATTAGCTATTCGACCAACCATCGCATCCTCACACACAACAGACACGGTTCGAGATTTAAACACATCAAAATCATACGTGGCTCTACGTATTGACATATTAAAATCAGAAACATAATTATCCAATTTATCACACCATTGATCTATATTTTTTTCAAGATTATCCATTTTTTTATCAAGAGAAGTTAAAATGAGATTTACCTGTTGGCTATCTCTGCTGAGTTCCGCCACTACTTGGCGAAGTATGAGCAGCATCTCACCCTGATCGGAGATTTGTGCCACTGATTGCACCTCTGCTCCAGCGTTGTTGCTTGAACCGCCAACTATGTCGTCAATCTCGATGTTGACCATTTGATCCTCCGCCATGGATCCTTGTCGAAGATCACAATCTTCTTTTCCTCGCCGCAGAGCCAAGTCAAACACACGTGTCCCACCGGGCTTGCCAAATTGTTTCCTTGCACAACCAAATACCACCGCCGGTGCCGAATTTGTTTCCGCCGATGTTGATTTGATGTTTCGCGATGGAAACTCTTGCGGTGCCGTTTGATCGAATGCACCGCTGATTGCTGAAATCGAGACGACCATCAAATATTCACCGCCGAATGTCGGCGCCGTTGATTTGATCGATGCACCTCTGACTTCTAACCAAGAACGACCGTTACTACGGTTCGCACCTCTCCAAACTACGTTCGAACGAGGGTGTTTGAGTTTTGAGGAATCTACACTTCCGCTACTCCTATGGAGATTCCTGTGGAGAGCTCCGCGACTACGACTAAGGCTACAACTATGGAGATCCTTCCTGGAAGGAGAGCTCCACGAAGGAGTTACAGAGAAAAAAGATAAAGTTTGACAGATGTGTTTCTGTGTTGATTTTTTTGGTTCTTTTCTCTCTCCTTGCTCCACTGCTTTTATTCGAAAAACTGCTTCGTAGTCTTCACGCAACTCCGTGTCAACTGCTTCGTCGTCCGGAGAACTCCCACGTGTCTCAACCGCTTCGTTCCTCAAACTGCTTCGCGTGAACTTTACGTGAGTTGTTTTCATGATCCCACGATGTCGTTTCCTTTCCCAAAAAGCTCCGTTTGCTTTTCCTTTTGCGACACTGTTTATTATTAAACACTGTCGTTTGCTAGTATAACTGTACCGTTGGGCTTTCTCGCGGTTCCCTTTTTAATTCCATGGCACCGTTTTAACTCTCCTCGACATCGTTTTTAAATCCGCGGCGCCGTTTTAACTGTCTGCGGCATCATTTTTAAATCCGCGGCACCGTTTTAACTCTCTGCGGTGCCGCGTCTTCCCATCCAACAAGGATAATAAAAATAATAATAAATCCTTTTCCACCACCAATACTACGTGCGTGGCCCCCATCCTGTTTTCTGGTAAACAGTGTCGTTTCCAGTGCCGCGGTATCGGTGAGCTTCCTTGCGGTACCGTTTTTCTGATCCGCGGTGTCGTTTTACTCTTCCGCGATGTCGCTCGACTCCAAACAACATCGTTTTTTACCCGCGGCATCGAATTAAATGTCGAGACTAATCAATGCGACATTTAATTTAATCCAAATTAATTTTAGGTGTAAACAGTTGTCCAGCGTGTGGAAGTTGAGTCGGATGAAGATGCTGATGTATGAGTAGCATACTTGTTTAATGCTCTTCCTGTTGCTGTTGAGATCCTTGTTTACCACTTTATTAATGCACCAAACGATGAAGACGAGTGGTAGAAACCCAAACCAATTTGATAGATTGTCTCAATTAGCAATGCTCGAGTATTAGTTTCTTCTGTTCAAACTACGACTGCTGTTGCTTAGTAACTATGATAGTAGTGAATCGTTTGGGATACGTGACAGCATCATGTTTCAAGTGTGAGTGGTGAAACGAAACTTGACATCTCTACTTGTGTGATCACAAAATTCAACAGGTACTGCCGTACTGGTTGAAGAAACAGGAGAATGGTGGCGGGTGGTGGTCGATTTGGTTCCTTTCTGCTAGACTGCTACGAATTTGTGTATATTGAAAAATGATATAAAGGTTAAAAAAAAAAGAGAAGAAGATAAAAGGTATTAAACGATAAGGGGAAGACGATAAGTCATATTTTGCATCCCTCCAATATTTCCATCGTCCAAATCCCTAGTCGCCGCCATTCAATCTTCGAAACTCCTCCGCCCTCGATTCACCGCCGCTCACACCTTCGCCGGCGAGATCGCGTCCGCCTCCGCTCACTCCTTCGAGGTCGCCGTCGACTTGCTCACTCCTTCGCCTTTGAGATCGCCTTCGACTCGCTCAATCCTTCGCCTGCGAGATCGCCGCCGCCGCTCATCCTTCGTCCGCGATATTGTCGGCGCCGCCGCTCACTCTCCTTCGTGCTCGGGATCGCCTTCGACTCTTCCAAGGCGCTGTGGAGGAGGAACCACAACGCGTCAAGACCGGCCGCGACAGCGATGTTCAGAATTACAGGTCAATTTCTCATTTTTTAGTAGCTTCGTCGTTTTGAACTGCATTGAAAGGAACTTTTCAATTTTCTTATTGCTCGTTTCTGGTGTGGTTTTCCTGGAGGTGACGGGAGGAACAAGGGGATTGGGTTCGAGATTTGTAGGCAGTTGGCTTCTAATGGCGTTCTAGTTGTTTTAACAGCTAGAGATGAAAGCAGGTTGATTCAACTGCACTTACAAAGTACTATTCAGAGGTTCTCCCTCCTAGCAATACTCCAGGTGTATGCATCCTGGACATGTGTAGTAGTTGGTGAACGATGGTAGAAAATCTCACTTGATTGTATTATTTTGGAGAGGGAATTTATACGGCAGAGTTTGAGTACATGATCAGAACGTGTGAAGCTGTTGGAGAGTTTAACGCTAACAAATGGGAGTGGAGAATTGGCTATGCTGTTGTAACGGGTGGTGGTAACAGATTCAGCCAATAAACAGCTAAAGACTCGGTCAGCCTTGTCATGTCCCCGCAAGTTGAGGGTCGGTGACTTTCAACTTGGTTCGAAAGTGCTGGAATCGTTGACGAGGTAGCGGTTTGGTAAGCAAGTCAGCAATTTGATCATCAGTGGAAATGTAACGAACGAGGAGTTGGCGGGCAGCTACCCGCTCTTGAACAAAGTGGAAGTCGATCTCCATGTGCTTGCTACGGGCATGGAAGACTGGATTGGCCGTGAGGTAGGTTGCACCGAGGTTGTCGCACCAGAGCTTTGGAGGGGAAGGTAGACAGTACCCAATTTCATTCAGAAGGGACTGTATCCAGATTATTTCAGCAGCTAGAGTAGCGAGGGCTTTGTATTCGGCTTCAGTGGAGGAGCGGGCAACCGTCCGTTGCTTGCGGGATGACCAGGAGATGAGGTGGGAACCAAGGTAGACAGCATAGCCAGTTGTCGATCGTCGGTCTGAAACATTGTTGGCCCACGCAGCATCAGAGTAGCCGGAAAGCTGAGGAGAGGAGTGGGAGCTGAAAAACAAACCATGATTAGTGGTACCACGAAGGTAACGCAGAACGCGTTTCACATCCGTCCAATGTTGTTGGAGAGGTTGATGCATGTGCTGAGCGCAGTAGTTGACGGCCTGGGCGATGTCGAGACGGGTGAATTGAAGGTATTGCAAAGCTCCCACAATCTGTCGGTAAAGAGTACCATCAGGAAAAGGTGTTGTGTCTCGCTCGGCAGTGGCGGTGGTTGCTGGAGTGGCTAGAATATTGGAGGAAGTCATCTTTGCACGGTCAAGAATATGATTGATGTACTTGCATTGTGACAGGAGCAAGCCGCGAGGGGACCAGATGGCTTCAATCCCTAGAAAATATGAGAGCTGGCCAAGATCCCGAACTGCAAATTTGTTGGTGAGATATTGGAGAAGTGCCTGCAAAGCTGAGAGTTGGTTACCAGTGATAAGAATATCGTCAACATAAATGAGGACATAGAGCCTCAAGGATCCTCGACACAGAATGAACAGAGATGTGTCAGTCTTCGATCCATGAAACCCATAAGCTTCAAGGGCTTGTCGGAGACAGTGGAGCCACGCTCGTGGTGCCTGTTTCAAACCGTAGAGGGATTTCTGAAGGTGACAGACATGATTCGGTCGAGTCGGATCAAAGAAACCAGGTGGTTGCTGCATAAAAACATCATTAGTCAATGAGCCATGGAGAAATGCATTGGCTATGTCCAACTGACGAACAAGCCATTGTTGAGAAACAGCGAGGGACAGAATGAGCCGCAATGTGGTCGGTTTCAAGACAGGGCTGAACGTATCTCCAAAATCCAGGCTCGGACGTTGCTGGAAGCCGCGGGCAACGAGGCGCGCCTTGTACCGTTCAATGGCGCCGTCAGATTTGGTCTTAATGCGGAACAACCACTTGCAGGTGATAACATTCTGAGTCGGGGAACGGGGTACTAGCCGCCAGGTCCGGTTCTTGAGTAGAGCATTGTGCTCCTCCGTCATAGCTGCGCGCCAGAGTGGGTGCATGAGAGCTTGTTTAGTAGTAGTGGGAATGGGAGGCAGGGGTGGTGAGGATGAAGCGAGGTGATTCTTAGGCTTAAGAGTACCAGTTTGGGTTCTTATGACTGGGCGGCGAGGAATCAGAGGGGTGTAGGTGGCAGGAATGGGGCGGGGAGATGTGTTGAAGCGAGGGAGAGAGGTGGCGGGTGTGGGGCGGCGCGGTATGTGTGATCTGGGATGGGTGGGTAGGCGAGAGATAGAGGGAAGGGCAGACGTGGGCTGGGTTGTTGTAGTGGGCTGGGTTTTTGTATTGGGTCGGGGAGGAATGGGATGGGCTGCATTTGTGGGAGAGTGGGTTGGCGGAAGTGTGGGAGGGATGGAAGGAGACAAGGATGGGCCAATGGTGTTGGGCCCAAGTGGAGGGAATGTAGGTGGAAGGGGAAGAGAAGTTACAGGTGTGGGTGTTGAGACTAATGAAGGAGCAGGGGTAGTGTGGAGAGCTGTAAATCGGGAGTCTTGAAATGGAAAGCAAGTTTCATCAAAGAGAACATGACGGGAGATGTGAATTTTTTTTGTGTGGAGATTATAGCAACGGTAACCCTTGTGCATGGAACTATAGCCGAGAAAAACACATGGGGAGGATCGAGGTTGGAGTTTATGACGAGTGAGTGGGCGTAACCAAGGATAACAAAGAGTCCCAAAAATTCGAAGACTTGAGTATGTGGGTTGCTGGTGATGAAGAACTTCGAGTGGGGTGCGAGAGTCAAGGAGCGGGGTAGGTAGACGGTTTATAAGATACACGGTAGTGTCAAAAGCAAAGGGCCAAAATTTGATAGGAACAGAGGCATGGTGAAGAAGAGCGAGGCCGGTTTCGACGATGTGTCGGTGTTTGCGTTCAGCACAACCGTTTTGTTCGGGTGTATAGGGACAGGAAGAGCGATGTTGAATACCATGTTGTTGGAGATAAGAGCTCAATTTTTGATATTCACCGCCCCAATCGGCTTGAAAAATTTTGATAGGACGACCGAAATTTTTTTCAACATGAGTGCGGAAACGAATAAAAATATCAAGAAGATTTGAACGATGGCGGGTGGGAAAAATCCATGTGAATTTGCTGAAATGATCATAGAATAAAATGTAGTAAAGATTGCTGTCACACGATAGTTCAGGAGCAGGACCCCTTACATCACTACATATTAAATCGAGGGGACCTTGAGCTTGAAATGTAGAGACAGGAAAGGGAAGTTTATGAATCTTCGAAACACTACAACCATGACAAAGACTAGAATCATGTTTATTGGAAGCAGAAATAGAGTGATTACGGAGAATCTGATGGAGAACACGAGAATGAGGATGGCCGAGGCGTTGATGCCAGTGAGATAGAGTGACGTGATACGCACGGGGAGCAGCAGAGGGTAGGACGGACAGTGGAACAGTGTAAAGCCCTTAATGACTCTTGCCTTAATGCAGAATTGTCTGGGAGCGCGTGTCCTTAATGACAAAAGAATCACCCACAAAGTAAAGAGACAAAGGATTAGTACGAGTGAGAGCATTAATGGAAAGAAGATTTTTAGAGGCAGAAGGAACATGGAGGATCTTAGAGAGGTGTAAGGGATGGTGACGAAGAGTAGCCATGGAAGAGCCAGAGTGAACAATGGGGGGAGAGTTACCGTCGCCGAATGAGACTTCATCGGGACCATGATATTTAGAATGGAGGGCGAGATTGTTGAGGTCAGAGGTGAGGTGGTAATTGGCACCCGAGTCTAGCAGCCAATCTTGTGGTGTGGGGGAGTATGCGTGGTGGGCTGATGGGTAAGGACGAGCTGGGTGGGCGGGAGAGGGGCACTGCTTGGCTGTGTGGCCGTAGCCACGGCAGGTGTAGCATTGGAGGGCAGCAGTCGACAGAGGAGGGCGGACGGTGGGCCTGGGCCCAAGAAGACCGGGGCTGGTACCTGTTCCAGACACAGCAGATTGTGAGCCGCTAAAGGAAGAGGAGGGAGGGGAATAACCTCTAGCGCCGCGTCCACGACCACCAGCACGCCCAGAGAACCGACCGCGACCACCACGACCACCGCGTCCGTAATGAGCAGATGGGGCGCCGTCGTGAAGGAGTTGGTGGCGCTGTAGGCGTTGTTCTTCGCGGAGGAGAAGCCCATGGAAGTCGTCGAAGGAGATGGGATCCGATTTGGCCTCAATCGCGCGAACAAACGGAAGATAATTTTCGCCGAGTCCCTTGAGGCAGCGATCGACCAGGTCATCATCTGAGACAGGTAGATTGATTGATGCAAGCCGATCAGCCACTTCTTTAGCCCGTTCGAGGTACTTGTCGATGGAGTCATTGCCGCACTTCATGTCTTGGAATTGGTCTTTGAGTTGTCTGATGCTATGGCGATTCTCTGATCCATAGGTAGCAGCGAGGCGGGTCCAGGCATCGAAAGCAGTAGTGCAACCAACAAGCTTCGATAGGACTGCTTCAGAGAGGGACATCACAATCCATGAAAGAACAAATTGATCCTTTTTGTACCAGGCAGCATATGCTGGGTTGGGGTTGCCATCAATCTGTTTTGCCGGAGCAGAAGCAGAGCCATCAATATGGTGGACAAAGTCAAAGCTAGTAAGAAGGGGAAGAATCTGAAGTTTCCACAGAAGATAGTTTTTGGAGGTAAGTTTGACAGCAATATGTGGAGGGTTGGGGTGAGGCAGAGCGAAGGAGGAAGAAGAGCTGTTGGCATCAGATGATGTGGTGCCGGACATTTTTGATGCGGTGAGAAGAAGGTAAAATGAGGAGTGGAGACAGGAAAGAAGTCGGAGAAAAAAGACAGAAGAAGGATCAGTGGAGCTGTTGGGCTATGAAAGCTCTGATACCATGAACGATGGTAGAAAATCTCACTTGATTGTATTATTTTGGAGAGGGAATTTATACAGCAGAGTTTGAGTACATGATCAGAACGTGTGAAGCTGTTGGATGCATCAGTAATTAATTCCAGACAGTATTTCTTTTGACTCAAAGAGATCCCTTTATGATCTCTCAAAACTTCCAAGCCCAGAAAGTAACTCATTTGGCCAAGGTCCTTGACCTTAAATTCCTTCCCAAGAAACAGTTTTAACTGCTCAATGTCACCCAAATAACTGCCTGCAATTAAGATGTCATCAACATACACAAGGACCACAACAATTCTGCCCTGAATCCATCTCACAAACATAGAGTAGTCTGAAGATGTTTGAGAATACCCATTCTTCATTAATGCAGTGGTCAGTTTGGCAAACCACTGCCTGCTAGCCTGTTTGAGTCCATAAAGAGACTTCTTAAGTCTATAAACAAGGCCTTGACCTCTAGGAACATTGGCTCCAGGAGGTATTTCAAGATAAACCTCTTCTTCTAAGTCTCCATGCAGAAATGCATTGGAGACATCCATTTGGTGAATGTGCCAGTCCTTTGAAGCTGCCACTGCCAACAAGGTTTTCACAGAATTAATCTTGGCAACAGGTGATTATGTGTCAAGGAAGTCAATCCCATAAATCTGTGTGTATCCCTTGGGAACAACTTTGGACTTAAATCTCTCAATAGTCCCATCTGATTTATGTTTAATCTTGAACACCCATTTAGAACCTACAGCTTTCTTACCCTCAGGTAACTTCACAACTTCCCAAGTCTGGTTCTCTTCCAATGCTGCCAACTCTTCATTACAAGCCTGGTTCCATCTGGGATCTTTGCAGGCTTCAACATAGGAAGTAGGTTCCACTTCCATCATGACACTGAATGCAAAGGATCTCTGTGCAGGAGTAAGTTTTTCATAGGAGAAGGTCTTCCAGATGTGATGTTTGGAACATGATGCAGAAATGTTTATGTCATAGTCTTTGTGCCATGCTGGGACATTTCTGGTTCTAGTGGACTTTCTGAGGAGTTCAGCCTCATTGGAATCATCATCATCAAGGAAAACTTCAATCTCAACCTCCCCCCCACCAGAATGCAAACCAGGAGACTCTGAACAGGAAGTGTGTTTAGAAGAAGAAGGAGAAGAAGAAGGAGTTGGAGATGGAAATGGACTGTGAGAAGGAGATGAACTGGGAGCATTCTGGGAAGTGGATGTGGTAGGTGATGAAGAGGAAGAAGGGCTATGTGAAGGTATAGGTGACAAGATAGGAAGAATAGGATCTGAAAGGAGAGTAGGGGTATTAGAAGATGAGGAAGAAATGTGGAAAGGTAAAATTGTCTCATAGAATGTAACATCTCTAGAAACAAAGAAACTGTGGGAATTGAGATAATAAAGTTTAAAACCTTTAATCCCAGAGGGAAAGCTAAGAAAAATGCATTGCCTTGCACGAGAATCAAATTTGGTCCTATCCCTATGCAAGGTGGCAGCATAGCATAAACAACCAAAAAGTCTTAGGCCAGAGAGGCTAGGAGGTTTGTGGTAGAGGAGTTCATAGGGGGAAGTGTTGTTCAGGGCAGAAGTGGGGATTCTGTTAATGAGATACACAGCATGCAACACACAATCACTCCAGAATTGAAGGGGAACTCCAGATTGAAACCTCAATGATCTGGCAACATTCAGTATATGCTGATGTTTCCTTTCAACCCTGGCATTCTGTTCAGGGGTTTCAACACAAGAAAGTTGATGCTCTATCCCATTAGCAGCATAGAATTCTGCCATGTGGAACTCACCTCCCTAATCACTTCTAACAACCTTGACATGTTTTGAATATAGCTTAGACACCATCACACAGAATGATTCTAACAGTTTACTAGCTTCAGATTTATATTTCATCAAGTAGGTCCAGACACCTCTTGAGTAATCATCAACAATTGTTAGAAAATAGGAGTAACCATCATGTGATTTAACAGCCAATGGACCCCAGATGTCCACATGAATAAGAGAAAAGGCATCCTGTGCACGAGAAGAACTAACAGGGAAAGGAAGCCTTTTGTGTTTGGCAAAATGACAAGTTTCACAGTGTAAACTAGAGACCCTATTACATGGAACTAATAGTTTCTCCTTCTCTCTGTGAACATGCCCAAGTCTCCAATGCCACAGGTCAAATGTTTGAGGGGAAAAGTTGTAGATGGCTGCTGCCTGAGGTTGTGATGGAGATGGTGAAGAAGATGGGGTAGTCTTGAAGTTTAGTTGATATAGGCCTCTAATCTGCTTTGCCAAACCAGTCCTGTTGAGGGTCATTAGGTCCTGAATTTGCCAAGAGTCAGATTCAAAGTGTAAGGATATTGGTAATTAAGTCATTTGTAAGTTTACTCACAGACACTAGGTTGAATGAGAAACTGGGCACAAGAAGGACATTATCAAGTACTAGTCCCGAAGGAAGCTTAACTCTCCCTATATGGCTCACAGAAACTTTGGTTCCATTAGGCAAGAAAACAAACTGGTTCTGAACTGGGGTGGACTCAAAGAAGAGATCTAGGCTGCAGGCTACACTACAAGAAACTTCGCTTTCTGCGATGGAAAAAATCGTCGCAGAAAGAACTAAAATTCGTCGCAGAAACCTTCTGCGACGAATTCTTTCGTCGCAAAAGTGAGAACCCCTTCGTCGCCTATACAGCGTCGCAGAAAGTTCTGCGATGAAAAAAACCGGTTCGTTGCAAGAAAAACTAAATTCGTCGCTGAAGGGCAATGATTTAGCAACGATCATTTCGTCGCAAAATGATCATTTCGCGACGCCCATTGCACCGTTGCAGAAAATAAGGATAATCTGCGACGAATAGTTCGTTGCAGAAAGGTGACCATTTTTTTATAATTATTCACAATTTATTTTTGGGTTAATTTCAGTATAGGTCACATTTTATTTCTGTGTTCAGTTTAGGTCACAAGTTATTTTTCATTTCATTTTTTGGTTCCTTACTTCGTCAACATCAAATCTGCAGCTCATGAAAGACAAAATTCCATATTTGCCCAAAATACACTATGAATTCCTCATCCAAAATCCAGATTTGCAAGTCCAAACGCCAAACCTGGAAAATAATTAAAACAAACCCAGATTTAGTAAATACAATAAAAAACTAAGGAAATTTTTTTGGAAAACAATTTTCTGCCGACAATTATCACTGCACATCTATATAATAAAATTACCAAAAAAGCAGATCTGGTTTCTTTCTTTCGCTTTTCTCGTCAAAAGAGCAGATCTGGTTTATCCATCGGAGGTTGTAGCCGATTCACCACAGCCAGAGGCGAGATGGCGAACCATCGAGCTTCCTTCACCGCGGCTGGAGGAGATTTGGGATTCGTTGAGCTTCCTTCACCGCCTTCAACATCTGATGCCATTGGCAAAACCCAGAATAAAAATGTAACAATAGCATTCTTGAGCCAGAAACCCTCAAGAAAAACACACATGCAGGCCAAATCTTACCCGGATCGTCGCTTTTCCGATAGAGAGGAGCTGATTCGCCGTTATGCGATGCCAAACACCATACACTCTTCGATCTTCCTTCATCGCCATTGACACCCGAAGCACCGGCGACCCCTTTCATTATTTCTCCCACCGCCGCCTAGAGGAGCACAGTCGGGTTGTCTATTTGGGAGAGAAATAGATAATACGAGAGAGGAAAAAGAGAGAAGGAATAGAATGAGTTTGGGCGGCTAGGATTTTCTAGCACTCTCCACTCTTCCTTTATATACTAACCCTCTCTTTATTGACTAAAATACCCCTCCAAACCCTAGACAAAAAAAAATGCTCCTTACGGATTCGAACTGCTGACCTGTTGCTCACAATAATACAACAACTAACATTTGAACCAATCCGGCTCAAGGAGAGCATTTGTCATCTATAATTGCTCAATTGTATTTAATCCTTAATCAATCTTAATAGGAAAATCATAAAATTCATCAAAGCACTTTGAATCCTTCGGTTAAAACCAATTGCAATTATCCTTATACGTAGAAATATCTTCATACTTAATTATTGTGAAATTATCAATATATGTGATACGAACTCACGAATACAATACAACATTTTTACCAAATTAACTACATCAAAATAGGTATTTTCTCACTTCAAGTTTTTTAACCTTAATACGCACACAACACGTAACATTTAAAGAGATGGAGAGGTGGATAGAGTTGCCTGAAGCCCAAAACCATCAATTTAAACTATGCTCCCGCAAATTTACTACTTTTACATGCCTGCTACAGTCCCTTTGTCTGTGATTAAAAAATTAAGTGGGAATGAATTAGCGAGGAATCTAACCCTCTACCTTCTCCACACATCTCAACATTGTTAGTATTCAAATTTCAAACCAGTTAATCCACCACGTTAATTTGTTACATTAGTGTATTGTATTATTCTTATTTTTTAAATATTATGAAATCCAAAAAAACGAAAGAAGCCTTATGTTAGATAATTAAATCTAAATATAAAATTTGCTGAAGCATTATACAATGTAGGGGTGGCTATTTGGTCCGGACTGTTTGGTTTGACGCGAAACCGGACCGTATAACCCGGATCGGGACCGAAGTGGGACCGGATAACAAACAATCCAATCTCATATTCGGGCTTAGATTTGAGGTAAAAAAATCCGGATAAAGACCGGATAAGAGACCCCCAACAACTAAAATCAAGATAAAATTGGAACCGGATCGGATCAAGACCGAACTGTATCCAATCCAATCTTTGGTCCTTATATTCCCGAAAAGACCAGACTGGGACCTGATCAATTTGGTCCAATTTAACCGGACCGGACCGTATAGCCACCCCTAATACAATGACTAAAAAAGGTCTCATAAAGTCTCGAACATTCTGCGACGAAGGACAATCGTCGCAGAAAGTTTACATACATTCTGCGACGACGGGCAATCGTCGCTGAAAGTCTATATAGATTCCGCGACGACAGGCCATCGTCGCAGAAAGCTCTCAAACATTCTGCGACGATGGCTATCGCCGCAGAAAATCTGCATACATTTTGCGATGACAGACAATCGTCGCAGGAAGTCTACACACATTCTGCGACGATAGACAACCGTCGCAGAAAGCTCACGAACATTCTGCGACGACGGGTTACCGTCGGAGAAAGTGTACATACATTCTGCGACGATAGACTACCGTTGCAAAAAAAATTCACACCATTTGCAACGAAAAAGTGAAATTCGTCGCAAATTGTACACTTTCTGCGACGAATTTTCTATCGTCGCTGTATAATTCGTCGCAGAAAGTGCAGTTTCTTGTAGTGATATGGTCAGAGGCACCAGTGTCGAGTATCCATATACCAAGCAACCCATTAGATTGTTGTGGAAGATAAGAAGAGAGAATGTATTTACCAGCATGATTTGGGAAATGAGGTATGTGCTGAGCCACTGAGAAAGCATGATGATTAATGGAGGGAGAGGCTGGTGGAGATGGGCTTGGTGAAGGTGGGACTGAGTTCAGGAGGAACCTCAACTTGTTCAATTCCTCAGAAGATAAGCCAAAACTGCCACTGGAGGGTCTAGTGTCAATGCTGAGTTTGGTTTCTGAACTAGCAGAGTCACTGTCAGTGGAGGAGTCACTTTGAGAAACAGATGCAGCCACATTTCCTCCTGCCATTCTTGCCTTCTTACGTTTGAGAATGTAACATTCATCAATGGTATGGTTTTCTTTCTTACAGTACCTGCAGAACTTCTTTCCATCAGAAGTAATATCCATACCCTTCTGTTGATTACTTGAATTCCCTGTAACAGCAAGTGCTACAGTTTGAACTCCCTTAGTCCCTCCAGCCTTGTCTCCTTTAATCTTCTGTTCATGCTGCAGTAAGTCATTTACAGCACTGTCCACTGTAGGAAGTGGCTTCATCATCAGCAGCTGTGTATGCACAATCTCATATTCAGGTCTTAACCCTTTCAGAAAGCGGATGAGGTATTCCACTTCCTGCTTCTGCTTAAAAGCTTGTACAGCTGCACAAGGTCGAGTGCGTTGTGCCACACAATCACATTCAACAATGGGGTTAAACTGTGAGTTTTCTTCCCATAGGCCTTTGAATGCTGTGTAATACTGTGTGATATTCATGGACCCTTGCTTACAAGCAATGATATGATCCTGAAGGTTAGCCAATTTAATGGCATTTGGAAGTCCAAATCTCCTTTTCAATTCTTCCCAGAGAACATGGGCATTCTCATGCTGCATAACACTTCTCCTAATTTCCTTTTCAATTGAATTAAGAATCCAGCATAGAACCAAAGTATTCGAAGCATCCCATAACCCAAAAGCAGGATCGTCAGCAGGTGGCATGACAATCGTACCATCTATGAATCCTATCTTGTGTTTAGTCTTCAAAGCCATACGAATTGCTCGTTGCCACATTTGGTAGTTTGAACCATCCAGATTTTTAGAAACAATCGACTGTGAAATGTTTTCATTTGGGTTTATGTAAAATGGGTTACCAAACAGTAGATCTGCTCGTCCATTGTTGCCGTTGTTGTTGTTGGTGTTGTTGTTGGTTGTCCCGGTGTTGTTGCTTCCTCCACTCGTCTGACCATCGAAGCTGCCAAAGGGAATTCCTCCAGTATTGAGTGGAGTGCCACCAGGAGTGTTTGGACGAGGTGGAGTCGCCATTGCAAATCACTGGAACTGTTCCAGCTCTGATACCATATGAAAAAGCTCAATGAGCTTAGGGTTTGTAGAGGAAGAAGAGAATGAAGGCGGCACAAAATGAGGGAACCCGCAAGGAGTGATTCTCCTCTGCTACTTTGTATTTATACCAAACAGAAAGGTAAAGTTCAGTACAGTAAAAATGGAACCAGTCCGTTAAAACAGAAATACGAAAAGCAGTAAATAAACGCGCCACTTGTCATCGTGTGATTGGCCCTTCGTTGCTCCACCTAACGTTCACTGAGAAACCTCCATGACGTCGCTTTGGTATTCGCCTTAAACATCAGATGGAGGGGAAGGCAGAAACGTTTCGTTTCTGCCTTGTTCGTTTCTTCTTCAATCTTCAAGCTCGCGCCTTCTGCAGATGACCGTTGGAGATCAGTCGTCTTCTTCCTGGATTGATACGGCCCCAAGTGTAACTATACGGAGGGAGGGATGCCGGTTAAAAACTTTGCCGGAGTAGAATTCGTTTTAGCGGCTGTGTGGGAAATCCGTCGTTGCAATGCCAGATAATATGAATAGTGATCAAAATGAAGCGAAGAATATGGCTTTGCTGTGAAATGATTAATTCTGTTGTTGGTGTTGACTTTCACTTCCTGTTGTCGATTAGTGGAACCACAGGAAAGGGAAGCATGGTTTTTCAGAAACAAGTAAATTTTCTTTTTGTTGATAATTAAAAGTGATTTATAATAATGAATTGGAATTAATAATAGGTTTAACCATATATAACTGGTCGAACCATATTTGGTTAAGTTAGGGTTTTAATCAATGATGGCCATTAAACACAACAGATCCAAGGACTTAAATTATGGCGGCACTTGTGCCGTGACTGCACCATAGAAATGCCCGAATAAGAAAACTCATCATCATAACAAAATTAAATATATACATATATTCGGAAATGGATCAGGTCAGTAACTCTATGGTCAGTAAACAGGAGTAACTTATCCACATCAGCATGACATCAGTATCTTCTCTCTCCTGTAAAGTATTTTATTTTTTCCTTTTTAATCTTTCACGAATGATTTCTCTCTCGTTTTAAGTCGAAATTTAATTTTTTTTGCACAGATAAATCATATTAAATGTTCTCTTTAAAATGATATCCACTTTGATACATTTTTCATACAAAAAAAATTGAATAATTTTTTACCTGTCGTTACCATATGATATGCTTCTATTTAATACCATATGGTAAGAAAGCGTACGATGATGGTATGAACATACCAATATGGTAAGAAGGTTGAATACATGATAGTAGGAGTATACTAACTGTCATTTACGACTTTCATCATTGTTTACTACAAGTTACCACCCACATACCAAAGTGGTAAAGTATGATAATTTTTTATCCAGTATTTTTTTCACCCAGAAATTTATAGATCCAATAGATCATGATGAACTAATTTCTTCTGAGCAAACATTTTAAAAAACGATTAAAAACGAAGAAGTTACCATATGGTATGTAGTTAATAAAAAAAAAGTTTCTCGAAATATATTGAAAATTGATCTCAATTTGTAGAAAACAACGAACTCGTTCAATCTGTGCAAAAAAAAAATTGAAATTCGAGTTAGAACGAAGAAGATAAGAGCCGATTAAGAAAACTAGAAAAAATAAAATGTCTTTAATTGACAACCCTTAGATCTGAATTTTGTGGACCCATTTAGATCTAAAGGTCAAGATTTAGTTACTTATAAGTCAGTAACCAATAATTACTGACTCTATCCTAAACCCATATATTCCTACTATAAACATATCACAGATGAGAGTAAAAGTTGAATAACCACAACCCAATTACGAAGAACAGCACTAATCAAGCCGCATTGTATTAACAGTTTCATAGAGCTGAATGGGCTTATATAGATCGTGAAAGATCTACCCATCATTATTATTACATAATTGACAGTGGAACTAAACAGTAAACACACGTAGGTAGCAAGGTCGCAGCTAGCAAACCACAGGTAAAATTATTCAATTCTTTTTATTTATTTTTTATTTATTGTAACGATACAGTTTTCTTATTTATGCCAGAACAATTGATATATAGCTAAATGACCATCATGCATGGAAGAGGGCTTTTCCTTAAAATAGTACAAGGTGTGTGGGAGCTCGTAGATGCATGCTACGAAACTCTCCAATACTTTACCATCGATCTTAGTCACCTTTGATAGATACGTACGTAACTTACTAATCTAAGGATAGAGTTCAATGAGGACTCGCAGGCCGCAAACTGGGGTAATGGTGTAACTGGCGAATCCAGCTTCAGAGAAGAGCTTGGCGAACTGTGGTTCGGTCCTGATCTTTCCCTCACAAGTCATCACAATTACCATGTCAAAATACAAGAGTGTTTCAGTGGCGTCACGATCGTTGCAGCTCTGGTGCCCTACCACCATGTCTACTATCATTATATCAGGGAAGAACAGTGGTTCTTCGCGGCAACCAGTTCAAACAGAAGAAGCAGAGTCGATCGTTGCTCTCAACGGTGTCGTTCCAACAAACAAACAGAGAAGCCCCGCTGCCCCCGACGGTGTCATTCCAAAGAGCAAAGATAGGAGCTGGAGTGATGTCGTTTCTGGCATATTTCCACTTAGTCACTGATCTTTTTATTTCTGTTGCTTCTAATTTTGGTATTGTACTTGCTTAAGACACAAGTCTTGTCTTCTTCCCCAATCTGTCTGTAAACCCAAACTATCAGCTATATAAGCTGGAAATCAATAAAACTGAATCAAGCTCTTTTCTCCTCAACCCTAAAAGGTTGTCATGGTATCAGAGCCTCAACCCTAGCCGCCGCCACCACCATCAACAATGGCTGACAATCAAGCTGAGCCATCCACCCCACCTAATGTCGACCCAATGTCTAACCCCTTCTACCTCCATGGATTTGAACAACCTGGCACCCAGCTCGTTGCAGAGAAGCTCACTCCCACAAACTACATAGACTGGAGCAAAGCTTTTCACAACGCCCTTGGAGCCAAGAACAAACTTGGATTTGTGGATGGTTCCATTCCAGATCCAGGGCCTGGCCAACCCACTTCTTGGGCATGGACCTACGTGATAGGTATGGCCAAGGGGATATGGTTCGCATTGCAGAACTGATTGAGCAAATCTGCACACTGAAGCAAGGTAATCTCTCTGTCACTGAATACTATGGCAATCTCATAGCATTAAGGGACGAACTTGACAACTACCAACCCCTCGAGCCTTGTGCCTGCTCCACCACTAGTCACAACACCTGTCGAGCTATGTTGCTGGTCTTAGGCTACAGAGACACTAACTATGTTATCCAGTTCCTAAGAGGTCTCAATGACAACTTTTCAACTGTGAGGTCACAAGTTCTATTTGGTGATGCTTTACCACCAATAGATCGTGTTTTCCAACGAATGCTTCAACATGAAAGACAACTTACCAGTTCTCCATCCAGTAAAACCCTTACCACAGAAAGCCTGGCCTTTGCTGCTCATGGAAACCCCAACTATCTTGGCAAGAATCCCAGACCCTATTGCACCTTCTGCAAATTCACAGGCCACACAGAAGACACATGTTACCACAAACATGGGTGGCCACCAGGCATGACCAACCCCAAGACCTCAACTACATCAAACAGATCAATTGAGTGCTCTCACTACAAGAAGCAGGGGCACACTGAGGATAAATGCTTCCAAAAGCATGGTTATCCATTGACTCACTCCTACTGTCACCCTAGAAAATGGCCAAGTATAACCACTTCCTAAAGCGTAGTATAGCGGGTCGGGTTTTAATGTCAACCCGGGTCCTAGATGTGATGACTACTCGGTGAATTCTTGTTATTTAGCAGTGAACTTTTAGTGAAACTCAAGCAAACAAAACACAAAGCAAGTAAACGGTTTGTTGTCAAGTCAAGAGGGGTCACCCGGATATGGTTTCCCCCTAGACTGCAGTTAAGTCGGATTGCAATTTACCAAGTTCAGTTTTCATGAAAGTTATACTGCGGAAGGTTCTCAATTAGCCTGAAGTCTCGACTAAAGGTCTCCAGACCCTCTCAATCTGAGTCTCTAGCGGGCGACTAACCTCCACCGGAGTAAACAGATTGAGGCCCTAATGAACCAAACCTCCACTACCGAATTGACTTCGGTACAGAATAGCGAATTGGCTCCTCGACTAAAGTCACCAATTCGCCACCTTCGATTAAGGGTACTCTATCAACCTAGGCAGATATTCTCATTCCAGGTCAAAGCAGAAACAACAGGAATTTGATCAGGATTCAAGTCATTCAATCATTCAAACCTCAATCGAATATAATCAATTCACAAACACTGTACTTGGGTTCATACAATCAGACCTAGCATACAAATCTAGGGTTCTCCATACCCAGATGAATGGGGAAACTACTCCATAGAGAAAGAAGCAAAAGCAGATTCAGACACGGAAATCATACTGTGAAGTTGGATTCCTGCTTCTGGACGTTTAATCGCACTTCTCCAAGCTCAAGACGGGCTCCACTGGTGTTGAAGATCGATCTATGGCGCTTGGGAACTCTGGTTCGACGCTTTCTCTCTCTAGGTATCGGTTTCTCTCTCAAAAACTCGGAACCCTCTGAAAATTGGCCTTCTTCCTCTTTTATCAGCTGCCTGGTCGCGATACCCGGTCAGAATACCTGGTCGGGTATTTTATGGTTCGACCGGGTATTGTGAAACGCACCGTTCCACTAAAGGCGAAAATCCCCGGTCTACCACCAAAATCCCCGACCGGGGATTTAAGGCCATCGCCCGGGCCCCCTTCTGTTTCTCACGGGTGCCAAAAACGATAAATACCCGGTCGGGTATTTTGCCATCCGACCGGGTATTTTCCTCCTGCAGACCCCTTAGTCCCAACTCGGCTCCTTTCGACCCAGAACTCGTTTCTCCGCCTCGATTCCAACGCCGGGACCTGAAATATGACACAAACACACAACCTAGCGTAAAATCGGCTTAAAACACGAGATTCCTCAGCACAAACGGCTCCAGAATAGGGGTGAAAATATGTATAATTATCGGTCTATCATCCATCCAGGCCAAACTCCAAAGGCAGAGTCTCTGCCAATGCCACTACCACTTCTGCAGACAATGATGAAGTCAGACTCACTAAGGCTGAATATGAGAAGTTCTTAAACCTTATGAAAGAAAAGGACATGAACAAGAAGAACATCACCTCCAGTTCTTCCTTTTCTGCTGCTACTTGGGTCAATCGGCCTCCTCCTGCACCAGGTAAATTCAGTATAACTGTCCCTCCTGGTTCTACATCTCAGCATGCCTGGATCTTAGACACAGGTGCCTCAGATCACATAGTGTGCTCTCTGACTTACCTTGTTCAACCAAAAGCTATATCAAACATTCCCATTACTCTACCCACAGGAGACCAGGTTCATGCTACTCACATTGGCACAGTTACTTGTGTTGCCAACCTTGTTCTTGATAATGTCTTATTTGTCCCCCAATTCAACTTCAATCTCATATCTGTGAGCAAACTCACCACCAACCCCTCACTTCACTTAACATTCTTCTCTACTGTCTGTCTAATACAGGATTTGCAGTTGAGGAGGATGATTGGTTCTGCTAAGCTCACCAATGGCCTATACTTTTTTGATAGGAACCTCATAGATCAACCCTCCCCTCATTTTGCTGCCACTTCTGCACAGACTTTTGACCTATGGCACTATAGACTAGGTCATGTTTCACACTCCAAAGTCCCTCTTTTGAGGCAAATCTGTACATCCATAGAAACAAATGCTTCTATCCCTTGTGATACTTGTCATTTTGCTAGGCAAAAAAGGCTCCCTTTCCCTTGTAGCAACACTGTTTGCACAAGAGCCTTTGAACTAATTCATGTTGATCTCTGGGGTCCAAACTCAGTCCCAAGTCATGATGGTTTCAGATATTTTTTAACAATTGTTGATGATTTCACTCGTATGACTTGGATTATTCTATTGCAAACCAAATCTGAAACCAGACTCAAACTTCAACACTTCTGTAACCATGTTGCCAAACAGTTCCAACTCTCAGTTCAGAAAATTAGGAGTGACCAGGGCCAAGAATTTCAAATGCATGACTTCTTTAACAAAACCGGTATCCTCCATTAACAATCTTGTGTAGAAACACCCCAACAAAATAGCAAAGTGGAAAGAAAACACCAACATATACTCAATGTTGCTAGAGCCCTCAAGTTCGAAGCAAACCTTCCTTCTGGTTTTTGGTCTGACTGTGTTAAACATGCAGTCCACCTCATTAATCGAGTCCCAACCATTGTCCTAAACAATCTGACCCCCTACCAAAAACTCTTTCAAAAGCCACCTGACCTCACAGATTTAAGAGTGTTTGGCTGTCTGTGCTATGCCAATACACTCAACAGACATAGAACCAAGTTTGATTCTAGGGCCAGGAAATGTGTCTTCTTAGGTTTCACTACTGGCATAAAGGGATACAAACTTTATGATTTAACTCAAATGAGGTTTTCACATCCAGAGATGTCCACTTCTATGAAGACAATTTCCCATTCCAAACCACTCCATCTTCTCCATCCCTTGACAGCCCTTACCCTCCTTCTTCAAACCCAGCTCTCTTTGATGACTCCAGCCCCCTCTACCAACCAAAAAACTCTCCCACTCCTGACCAAGAACAATTCCTCAATGACCTGCACTTTGAAACTGATTCTGATGATCCATCTGAATCACATTCCCCATCACCACCTTCACCACCCCATCCTCCATCACCACCTCCCCCCACACAACCTTCCCAACCTCCTCCCAGAAAATCAACAAGAACTGTTAAACCACCAAAACACCTCCAATCTTACCATTGCAACCTGCTTCAGCAGACTTCTTCTACCAATCATTCTCCAATGCAGCAACATCCAGGTATTACCTATCCCCTATCTTCTGTGATTGATTACTCTAATCTTTCACCCTCACACAAACATTTTGCTCTAAGCATCTCTACTCTCAAGGAACCAGAAACATACCAAGAAGCCTTCCTATCAGATGAATGGAATGCTACCATGAAAGCTGAGACTTAGGCATTGGAGGCCAACAACACCTGGGACATTGTTGAAAGACCCCCCAACACCAGAATCATTGGCAACAAATGGGCATACAAATTCAAATTCAATTCTGATGGTTCCCTTGAGAGAAGAAAAGCCAGGCTTGTTGCCAAAGGCTACACCCAACAGGAAGGAGTCGATTACCAAGACACCTTTGCTCCTGTTGTGAAGATGACCACAATCAGACTCTTCCTGGCTCTTCCTGCATCTCAATCCTGGTTTGTTCACCACCTCGACGTCAACAATGCTTTTTTACATGGTGATTTAGACCAGGATGTCTATATGAAGCTCCCACCTGGCTATTCTCCTCCACCTGGCTTCAAGCATCCAGTCTGCAAACTCAAAAAATCCCTATATGGTCTCAAGCAAGCATCTCGACAGTGGTTTTCTAAGTTAGTAGACAAGCTTCACAACCAAGGCTACCAATCCAGCAAAGTGGATCACTCCCTCTTCTTCAAAACAAATGGCAGTTCTTACACAAACATACTGGTCTACGTTGATGACTTAGTTGTTGGCGGCAATGACTTACAAGAGATCCAAAACATCAAATCCTTCCTGCACCAGGCCTTCAGCATCAAAGACCTTGGGAACTTAAAGTTCTTCCTGGGAATTGAGGTTGCTCGAAGCAACTCTGGCATCCACATTTCCCAGAGGAAATACACTCTTGAAATCTTAGAAGATGCTGACCTCCTGCACTCCAAACCAGCCTCCACACCAATTGACTACAAGACCCACCTTTCTGCTTCCCACAATGACCCATTTCCAGACCCAGAATCATACAGGCGCCTCGTTGGTAAGCTGATTTACCTCACCACTCCTCGCCCCGACATCAGTTATGCCACTCAACAAGTCAGCCAGTATATGACTAATCCCAGCAATGCTCATTACAAGGCTGTTCTTCGCATTCTGCGTTATCTCAAGACTGCCCCTTCCAGTGGCATTTTCTTTTCATCCAAATCCAGTCTCCATCTCAAAGCATTCAACGATTCAGATTGGGCTGCCTGCATTGACACCCGTCGCTCTGTAACTGGGTACTGTGTCTATTTGGGTGACTCACTCATTTCGTGGAAAAGCAAGAAGCAAACTACAATTTCTCGGTCATCCTGTGAGGCAGAGTACAGGGCACTGGCCTTCACCACATGTGAGATCCAATGGATTTTCTATCTACTTCGGGACTTCAACATTCCACACCCACAGTCTGCCACTCTCTACTATGACAATCAATCGGCGATATACATCGCCGAAAACCCTACATTTCACGAACGAACTAAGCATATCGAACTCGATTGCCATTTCGTTCGTGAAAAACTTCTTGCAGGAACAATCAAGATTCTCCATGTCTCCTCCACCCACCAACTGGCCGACATCCTCACCAAACCACTTCCATCGGCGACCTTTGCGGTCCTTTTTTCCAAGCTTGGAGTCCACAATCTCTGCCCTACAGCTTGCGGGGGGGTATCAGGGAAGAACAGTGGTTATTCGCGGCAACTAGTTCAAACAGAAGAAGCAGAATCGACCGTTGCTCCCAACGGTGTCGTTCCAACAAACAAACAGAGAAGCCCCGCTACCCCCGACGGTGTCGTTCCAAAGAGCAAAGATAGGAGCTGGAGTGATGTCGTTTCTGGCATATTTCCACTTAGTCACTGATCTTTTTATTTCTGTTGCATGTTTCCTATTTTGGTATTATACTTGCTTAAGACACAAGTCTTGTCTTCTTCCCCAATCTGTCTGTAAACCCAAAACTATCAGCTATATAAGCTGGAAATCAATGAAACTGAATCAAGCTCTTTTCTCCTCAACCCTAAAAGGTTGTCGCATTACCTTTCCCCCACCTTTGCTGCTCGTCACCGCTTCCTTGGCTTGCTTCAGTATCTTCACACATGATTCGTCGCCCCAATCGCACAGTACCCACTGCATGTACATTTTTTTTTTAGTCTGCTTTCAGTTTAACATTTTCACAAGCTTCCCAAAACAGTATGCATTCGAAAGTGTGGGGGGAAAGTGAGACAGTTTGTATCATAAGACTCGCTAGAACTTACTTTAAGAAAGACAGCATCAACAGGAGGGATTTTTTGAAACATGTCCTCAACGACGTAGTTGAGATTGGGCTGGGTAGATTCCAGGCCAGAGACCACCTGGGCAAGATCGCAGACGGTGCAGTGAATCCCGGGGAATGCCTCAGCGATGGCCTTGGAAATCGTGCCCGTGTTCCCGCCCACATCCACGATGGACTTGAGGCCCTGGAAGTGGGACCCACACTTGGCCAGCAGGGCCTTGCTGAACATCCAGCTGTCACTTTCGGTACCTTCGCTCATCATCTTCCCCATCCGCGGGACATCCCTGCACACCTCGTACAGCTTCTTCCCGTTGTGAGCCATAGCGAACGGGAGATCTTCGGCGCCGGCGGCGCCGGCGGGGGGTTGACGAATCCAAGCGCCGAAGGAGCGCCACGGGTCCACGAGGATCGGGTCGTTGGCTAGGACGAACCACGTCGCAGCGTTGAAAGGTTTGTCTTTGACCAGAAACCCGCACATCAGCGTTGCGGAGTAGCTCGCGGCTGTTTCATCATCGCCGTCTTTCAGATTCTCCACGACGAAGTAGCCCATGTGGGCCAGCATCCGCATGAGGCGGGCGAGGAAAGGGGCTCTGGCCCGTGCGATTTTCAGGGCCGAGCCCAGCTCGCCGACGGTGATGGGCTTGCCGTGGTTCTGGACCACGCGTGGGATGTCCAGTTCCATGGCGGACTGGACAGCCATGGTCTTGATGTAGGCGAAGGAGTGATCCCAAACTTGCCGCTGAGCCTCCAGGAGCTGAATCGCTGTTTCAGAATCCATCGATGGAAAACTATTTGCTATTTGTTTTTGTTATCGCACCTCTTTCCTTTTCGGTCGATGTAGTAGTACTTGTAGTGTTTTTTTGGCTTTGCTATTTATAGCGACTGATAGAGCTAGGGTGACTACTATTTTTTGGTAGATTTACTTTATTTCTTAAAAACTATATCTATATATCTATATATAAAAATACTAAAACACTTTCATATTTCCGACCCTCCATGTCAGCCTCTCTCGAAATACAGTGATCTCTGCATGAGTTTCAGTTTCAATTTTTCATGTAATTAGCATATGATGATGGTTATTCATGTTCGGCCAACACCAAATTATATCAAGATTATCTTGGTTTATGTTTTGAAATGGAGTACCACTATACTATACGAAATCATGCCCAAATCAGGCATGGAGAAAATAATCATGTAAATTATAGGTTGTGTGTATAATTATATTAAGAAAATTGGGTTAAGCCTAAATGTTTAAGCATATGCTTAAATCATTACTATTGACTCATAGGAATTAAGTTAGTTTAAGAAAGATTAGTAATTGGTAGGTTGTCCGCGATATACACTAATTTTTGTTCGCGCCTAAATTTCACCATATATATTCCCATAATAATGAATTAACGCTGCATAACTCTACTAGGTGGCCGACTTGATTATTATAAATAACCTATCTTAATCCTGCGCACCATGCAGGTGGGAATAGTTTATTGAATTATTGAATCAAGACAGACAACCAAAATAGACAAAACAACAAATTATACATACGCATGGCATAAGTTAAGGATGCATAATCATTCATAATCATATTATCATTTATTGAAAGTACTATCTTTCCTCCAATTAATTTTAACGAGTTATATCTATCTCGTTTGAATCAAAATAAATTTTTATAAAAAAATCAGATTAATTGTACTATTTAAAATAACATACACTTTGTTATATTTTGGAACAAAAAATTTTCTTTGAGACTTTTATTACCAGCTTCATATCATGTGGTACTACTTGGTATGTACATAACATTATACCATTCTGTACGGAAGTGTACCATAATGGTATGGACACATCGAATTATAGAATGTTTACATACATGATATTAGAAACATATTAATTATCATTTACCACATTTTATTAACGTAAATCACTAGTTACCACTTTGTACTAGGGTGGTAAAGGATGTTACTTTTGTCTTATAAATATTTCTCCAATAAATTTGTAGATCTAATACATCAGGACAAACTTGTTCCCTCTATGCATTTTTTCCCCCAAAATTCGAGTTAAAATGAAGGTGGTACCAGGGTGATAACGAGTTGTATCGGTAATATGACAATTTTTTTGCTTGAAATATATTGAAAATTGATATCATTTTATACATTACAGCGAAGTCCTTTCCATCGGTGTAAAAATAAATAAAATTTAATTTAGAATGAAGAAGACAAAATTCGATTAAGAAAAGTAAAAAAAAATATATAAAAAATTAATAGTAATTCTAAATATCTGGTTATGCATATTATCTGGATCCATGAACACGTAGTGTTTCTAAAGATGATTCATCTAGCAACAAATTATATCTATAGATGAACAATTGAATTAAGACAAACAGCCAACACTCGCAAGTCGCAACCACCATATGAATACATACTGTTACTGATTTTAAAGACAATTAATCTACAACTTGTCTGTAGAATAAATAATTGGATCAAGAGAAACAACCAAAAGAGAGAAAACAACAAAGTGCTGGGAGTAGGAGCTACAATATGAATACATATTTTTCTAAAAATGGTTAATCTGACAGCAACTTGTTTGGCCATTTTACATATTGTTTCTAAAGATGATTAATCTGACAGTTACTTGTTTGAGAGGGGTATTTTAATTTGTTGGGTTTTTTCAGCATGGAGACGCCCATGCTACTCACATCAAAATTCGACACTCTCCCCTTAATAAGTATATCCCCTTAATTTAAAATATAATATTACCTTGTTATCGCCTTTTATAATCAACAAAAACTGCTATTATTATGTGCTAACACTTAAACTATTATTACCCTATCCTCACCCATTCATTGGTATTGGGCGATGTTCGAGCCAACTACCATGCCTGCTAGAAGTAATCTTGTGTACCAGTTTTACGAAACTTAGATGGAGATCATCATACGTAATGAAAAATTAATTTTTGGGGTTGTATATGTTCTCCGAGAGCATATTTGTAATCATTTTAATCAGTAATTGAAAATCATTCTACACTAAAAAATTAGATTAATAATTCTCACATGCATTTTGATATATTTTGAAGAAGAAAAATAGATTACTATTCTAGACGTATTCTACCAAGGATAATGACTATTTATTAGCCAAATATTTTCAGATTCTTTTTTATTAGCAAAATCTATTGAAATACTAAGAATTAACCAAATATTAACTTTCAGTTAGTAATTTTGTTAGTAATATTGACTTGCCAACATGATACTAACTTGGAAGAGAAATATGAAGGTCAACATTCTAAAATTTTAGTATTTTAACTAAGAAAAAAGTTATAAAATTATCAACAATAACGTAAAAATTGCTAATATTTTAATGCATTACAACAGATTTGGTTAATTAATAGTATTTTAATAATTTTGGATAATATTACAAATTCTAAAAAAGGTTTGACTAATAAATAGTCATTACCCTCGTACAATCTTACCAATGTATATCACGATGGTAGAGGTTGGTGATATATAAGATTATGTCATTGTGGTATGAATGTAGCCTAATATAGAATAATGGTATATTGGTATACATAGTGTTAGAAATATTTTCACTATGATATACAACATTCTAGCACTATAAAAGTTAAATACTTGTTTGCAATTTTTTTTCTTTCTAAAATTGTATTGAGAATTGGCTCATTTTGAATGAGTGCATCCCAGTCTAAACCATATTCTCTGGTCCCTTGTGTGAAAAAAAAAAAAAAAATTAAGATTGCATTGTTTTGTGACCTAGAAAAATGAAAACTAACATTTTAGCTGTAGGCACTACCGAATAATTGCTATTTCATAAGATGGAGAACTTTCGGAGGAAGGTGACCTTCACATGGCGGATTAAAATTAATGGTATTATGGTGGATGGCATTGACAACATTTTCCCAAGGTGTTGTGGAGTATTATTCAAACTTTTCTGTGAAGACATCCAGATTCGGCCCTTTCCTAGCAACTATTTCACAATCCATGCGAGTTTGGGCGAATATGTTTTTCTTGAGAATCCTTTCACAGAGAAGGAAATTTGGGGAGGCCTATCTAGTAGTGGCGGTTACAAGGCGCCAGGCCTCGACGGGTTCTCGGGAGCTGTTCTGATTAGTAACCTTATGGCCAATAGAGATATATATATAACCTGCCACATCACCTTTTAAGTAAGGTTCCTAACCATTTTTCTTATAAATTTTAACGGGTTACATCACTTTCGTATCAAGTCGTAAATTTTTTTTTTGCACAAATTAGATAAATTGTGTTCTTCAAAATGATATCTACTTTGATATATTTTTTGAACAAAAAAGTTTGAGACATTTAGTACTAGTCTATACCATGGTAATGCTTGGTACTACATAAATCATACCATGTGGTAATGAAGTGTATCATGGTGATATAAACATACATGAGTGTGTAATAGTTGAATATATGACATTAGGAATATAGAAAGTGTCATTTACCACATTCATCATTGTGTACCACAAGTTACAACTCCTATACGAGAGTGGTATGGAGTGGTACGAATTAGTCTCATATGTGCAAAAAAAAATTCAAAATTCGAGTTAAAATGAAGGTGGTACGAGGGTGGTAACGAGTGATATGAATTTTTTTTGTTGAAGTATATTGAAAATGAATTTTCTTTTGTAGATCACAACAAACTCGTTTATCTATGCAAAAAATTGAAATCCAAATAAAAAACGAAGATCATAAGAACTATTAATTCTCACCCTTTCTATCTGAACTTCTCTGGCCTAACACTTACTCAAATCTAAGATAGCTGATTTAATTATGCACCCTATCCCATACCCAATTTTGGTCCTATCCAATTGTATATGTTAGCTAGTTGCTTGATTTTGCACCTGTCTTGATCCAGCACACGATGCATATATATGGGAACAGTTGCGATCCATCGGCATAACGATTCTATTAATTTATTGGTTGATCCTGCTCGACTTATCTATATTATCTCCTACAATAATTTTCGTCCTATCTAATTGTATGCGTTAGCTAGTTGCTTGATTTGGAACCTGTCTTGATCCGGCACGCGAAGCATATATAGATATGGGAATCAAGGGCGGGCCTGTCTTGTGTAGCTAGTTGATTAATCTAACAGAAATCCGCTATTCTACCAACCTTATTGATATTTTAAAGTACAACCGAATTATAAATACAAATTGAAATTGTACCATAAGTGAATTTGACATTTATATTATGGTAACTCAAATTGTATTATAATATAAATGTACAACTTGAGTTTATACCATAAATATATTTTACAAAAAAGTATTGGTACAACCTGAAATTCTACCATAACGTTAATGGTAAAATTTCAAGTTGTACCATAAAAACAAAAACTAATAAAGCACCAATGTTATAAATCATTGTAAAATTCCTCAACAGAAACAACCAAAAGAGAGAAAACAACAACAAAAAAAGAAAAACAAATGGTTGGGAGTAGGAGCATGCATACACCCACCCGCTAGGAACGGATTGGGTCAGTTACCTTGTGGTGAGTAACCATGAGTAATCGCCACATCAGCACCCCTCTCTTACTTATGGATAGCTTTTAATATTCTTTTCCCCTTTTAATTTTACTGATGATCTCTCTCGTTTTTAGTCGGAATTTAAATTTTTTTGCAAAGATAAATCAAATAATTGTGTTTTTCAAAATGATATCTACTATGATGATTTTGAAACAAAAAACTTGAGTCATTTTTTACCAGTCTATACCATGGAGGTATTGATTGGTATTAAATAAGAGCATATCATATGGTATC